TATTATTATTATTATTATTATTATTATTATTATTATTATTATTATTATTATTATTATTATTAATACAGTTGTACCTTTATCCCAATCTTTATAATCATAAAAACTTTAAGATAGATGTGATACCAAGTACGAATGAATTCACGAACCAAAAACACTCTTCAGTTATTTGCGGCAGCTACGAAAACAAGACTCGGCTCGGCTCGGCCGGCTCCATACAACCCTGCAGCCGATTTTTTCGGTGTCACCCTACTGCGGCACAGAGCGATTGATGTCACAGATGGGGTGGTAGTAGAGAGGGGGGGAGGCCTTGTGTGCAGGTTCCGAGAGCAGGGATTGGAGGTAGGGGGAAGCGGTTGGTAAGGTAGATTGAGTGGTGACGCGTGGTATGGCCACATACAAAAGAGGGAGGAAGAGGTCGTAAGTGAAAAAGAGGAGCCGTGCTGCTTGTTTTTGCCGCGGATGCGCGGGATATGGGGAAGGTTCAGGAAAGGGGGCATAGAAGGGAAAGGGAAGAGGGAAGAGGGTCGGCAGTGCATAAGCGCACTTTTGGGTGTTGGATTCGAGACACGACAAGGGGTGATGGGGATGAGGGAGAGGGATGGTGTGTGCGGGCTACGCGCGCAGGGACTCGAGGCAGGGGGAGCGGGTTGGGCGGGTACATTGAATGGCTACGTGGCGTAGATCCTTTGGCAGTTTCCCAAGCCACGTTGGATGGCGGGGGGAGGAGGGGGATGGGTGGAACAGTAGGGAAGCAAAAAAAAAAATAAATAGCAACGCGCACCAGACCAGCCGGTGCGATCATGCGTTTTGCGCAATTCAGCCCATCGAACGATTGCCTATTAATGATTTTCACTGCTTTGTACGTTAGTCTATGCAGAAATAGTTGAAATATTGAAAAATTGTCAAAAATTTCACCACCTGCGCATGAAAGCTGAATTTGAAACCTTGAAGAGTGAATCTTTCCCTGATTCTCGAGTTAATAGTTTATCCGCCAAAATTTCCACGAGGCCGTAGGTGATGCCCGAGAGCGCGGGAACGCTGAGTTTGAATAAGCAAGGTTGAGCGTGGGCAGGGTGTCATTACCCTAAAATTCCGGCTTTGTAGGCTTTGCGGTTCCCGAGATAATAATTTACCCGTAAAAACTTTCACTAGCCTGTAGGTGACACCCGAAAGCGCGGGAGCGCTGAATGCGTATTTGCAAGATCGTCCGTGGCCAAGGGATCACAACCCTAAAATTTCAGCTTCGTAGACTTTGTGACTTCCGAGATAATAATTTACCCGCAAAAACTTTCACTAACCCGTAGGAGATACCCGAGAGCGCGGGAACGCTGAATTTGAATAGGCAAGGTTGAGCGTGGGCAGGGGGTCATTACGCCAAAATTTCAGCTTCCTAGACTTCGTGGTTTCCGAGATAATAATTTACCCGTCAAAAATTTTCAAAGGGCTATACATGTTACCCGCGGACAGGGGAAAACTGAATTTAATTTTCCTGGGTAGCACATAGGCGGGTGACAATTTAATTTTCCTGAGTAGCACATGGGCGGGTAAAACTTCCGCTTCCCAACTTCCGTCATTCCCGAGATACTGATTTTAGGCGGAAAACTTTTACGGGATCGTACGTGTTACTCCTTCCCGCCCCCGTGGGGATAGTATGTGTTTTGTACTGCTGTTACGCAGCACAAAACGCATAACAAAAACGAAAAACCGCTATCTGTAGGGAATTTTCCCATCTATAAAGCTGATGCTTAAGTGAAGCTAAAGCTTAGGTAAAACTGAGGGCTCTCAGCTTAACCTGAGCATCAGTTTCATAAACTGCTTCAAAAAAAAAAAAGAATAAGCTTGTTCCCCTCCTCTGCCTTCCTGTACGCTCTTCCTAAACCCTGCCTGCATTGCCAATCACTATCACCACTGGTCGTTCCATACTCCTCACTAGCCCCCTTGTTTCTTCCATCTACCTTGCCTTAATCCGTACCCCCTGAGCTTTATCCAGTTGCCTACCAACCAATCCCCAGCCATCTACGTTCAACCCCCTCAATGCACGCTATCTAACAACTGAACGCCAGATATCGCTACCCAGTACATCAGCAATCTGCCAAGCGGCGTCGACAAAGCTTGCCGTGAAATAGCGTCAGCGGAGACACAGAGTAACAACGGAACCGACCCAGGCCGTGTTTTAGTAACTGCCATTATTTATGCCCTTTCTCTACCAAACTCCAGATTGTTATACATATTTCTTGCATAATTCTCTTGCTATCGCTTATATTTGTTTAAAATTCGTCTAATAATTATTTCATCTGTGAACTAGCATTTCAGAAAGAAAAGAAAAAACACTTTTATTCAACGAAATCACATGCAACAGCAGTAATTCACAGTCAAAAAAATGGTCCCTGAGAAGACTGACTGGCTTAAAAACACAGATTATTCAGTCATTTTATGAAGCTCCCTTCCATTTCTAGCTGTTTTGTGCTAACTGAGAGCAACGCGCACAGTAAAAATCTTCCAGGGCCGATCTTGTGCGTCTTTCGTACAGCAGGCTTTTTCAGCGGTTCTGAAAATCAACAAAAACGTTTAATCCGCATTTAGCAAGACATCGGACTTCATCATTGCTGTTGGCACAGATTCCGTCCCTAGAAAACATCTAGCCCTTCACTTCTCTTCCGTCGGCAAACATGGACAACGCCATCGTCGTAACTATTTACACCTTGCCTGTTTACGCTGAAATCCGAAATATGTTTGTTTGTATTTGCAGAAACAGATGAGCATGTATTCTCGAGTACTTGAATGGGCGTGTTTCGATCTTCTAGAATAATCACCTAAAAAAAAAAAAAAAAACAAATAAAGCACAAAAATTATGTCAACTAAACCAAACAAAAGAGGCTGCAGAAGAACTGACCACCAACTGAATGATCAGTAAATCAGCGACGGAAGAAGCAAATAAAAGTAGAAACAGGGAAGTAATTCCAGAGAAAATCATCCACAATTTTAGATAAAATTGTAAAAATGAATTTTGCGCAAGTTTTGCTAGTAAAAATTGCATTTCAATTTAAATTCCAGCAATTTTTCAGTATTCAGGATACGTGAACAATCTTACTGGGGAGAACTGTGACCATTCAGCAGCTATTTTTACAGAATCGGCACACATGGAGGCTGTATCTGGCTTAGCTTACAGTGCAAATGCGAATAAACGGGAGTCAAACTTAGTCGACAGCGCACCGGTTGCCGGTGCGAAGATACGTTTTTTGCACAGCTCCCCGCAGGCTTGTGTTGCTTAATGGTACTGTCTTTTCCGGTAGATGATTCTAGCTAAGCTAAGAAAACTGAGAGCAGCCATCACGGCCGTCAGAAATTATTTCAGTGACTTCCAATCGATGCCCAAAAAATTTAGCAGCTACTCTGGTTGCGAAGTTGCATCAAATTTCACGTATTCGTATGTGAGACATGAAATGGACGTGTAAGTTGCTTTTATATCCATCTGATCAGCGCCACCGTCGGTTATGCTGAGAAAGTCCTATCCCTCTAGCTGTTTCAATCCTGATGTTACAAAAGTGCCTGCGTGAAATTTTCACGCGTCCGTACGTGAGATGCAGAACAGCTGGAAAACTCAACCTACTTCACGGGCATAGGAGTGGGCGACAAGTAACGCTGCAAAATTACAGCTCCCCACGGCTTCCTGTTCAGCTTAAACCTGGAGTTGGCATAATGCTAGTTTAAATTTTGACGTGTGTATACGTGAGACCTAAGGTGCGTGAAGGCTGATTCTGAAATCTTTGGATTAGACGTGGCCAAGGAACATCTCAGTGAAGTTTCAGCCTCCTAGCGTGCGCTATTCGCGAAAACGCTTTTTCACCAGAAAAACTTTTAGGTGCTCGTATGTGAAAACCACGTGGAAGTGAGCGTCCATTTTGAAGGTAAAAGCCCGCGCGTACGTGTAGATCAAGTCACCAAAGTTTCAGCCTTGTAGCTTTTGTGGATCTCGAGATGAAAACTCGTTATAGATGCACACAGAGAAACTCACACATACACACACAAACTCATCGACAATATGCGTTTTTGCATTGCATAGATGCAAAAAATGCATTAAAAAAACACAAACACAATACACCAGTTATATACAAGAAATGACGCTGTAAATGCATTGTAATTATCAAAATTTCCACAATTCGAAAGATTTTCACACCTCTTCCACCAGCTTGTCAGAAGAAGCAGCATTTTCACGGCTTACTATCAACAGGATCATTATGCTCATTACCGTTGACTGTGCATGGACTGCCTAGCACACTGGCATTGCCACCGCTGGTGGCAAGCACGCTTTCTGCAAGTCGCACATCTTCGGTAATATCATCGTCGTCATCAATGTCAACAGTCTCGTGATCTAATGAAACAGTGCTGCGACCGATCACTTTGAGCATAAACCTTCTCACCGGATCCAGCTGCTGCTCATTTTTTTGCTGCTTCGCTTTCCTACGGCGACCTGAAATTCCAGTACTCACCAATTCTCGCCATTCCAGCGGCAACAAAGGAGCCAGTATAGTGCCTTTACTGCCATATGTTTGCATAATTTTACTGAATTTTCTTTTAAGTATAACTCCCTATTTAATCTGACTCCCTTTGGAATGAATTCTGGCTTTTCGTCATCCAATCCTCCCCTTTCCCCGTCCTTTCTTGCCCCTGCCTACTTTGCCTACTCGAACAATTTTCAGCAGCCTAAAAAATAATTCACTCAAATAGTCGACTTCCTCAAACTCACCGCAGCGTTAACTATTAATCACTGAATAAGAGGGCAAAGGAACAGACAAAACCATCATGTAATCGCATTTTCCCCAAGCGGAGGATTACGTATCAGCAGTTCAAATAAACTGACAACTTAGGTCATGCTGCCGGCGATTCTTAGCACAGTGGAGCGCAACTGAGCACGCTGAAATCAGACTCGAGCATAGGCGGATCCACAAGGGGAGGGAGGAGGAGGGAGGGGGAGGGAGCGATGGACCCTGCGGCACAGGTAACAGTGTTAAAACTATGGAAAACTCTCCTCCGCACCTCTGGCCGTCCCCCCTTCTCCCCGGCAGTCGCGGCACCAGTGGGTCCACTTCCTCCCTCTCCTCCTTCCCCTCCCTCCTCCGGCAGGCCGCTCTGGATTCGCCTATGGATTCGAACAAAACATCGCAAATCTTTGTCACTGCTTAAGCAATAAACCTCAGCTGAGCCCGCCCGGTCGGACATCCGGAAAAAAATACCTCCCTGACTTTTATATGTTTCTGCGCACTTTTTCATATAGTCCTCCAGCTCCTCCATCTTCACTCTGATTTCACGCGCACATTTCTCATAAGCCAACTTTCTGTCGTTTTCCAAATTTCGAGAAAGACAGTCGCGCTTGGCAATGGTCACCCGTCGCTGCGATTCCTCTTGCAATGAGCGCCGCAATTCATAGAACTGAAACTCACTGCATCGGCGGAAAAAAAGGTGATATAATTGTACATCTTAAAATTCTGGTTAACTGTATTGCTCGGAATTTCTCGTGCTACAGTTAACGAGGCTTTATGCTTCGAAACAATAGCGAAACCGCTGCCAGCAATTTTTGCACATACGTCTTCTTCAAGATTGGCCCGGTCGAGTACCAAAAAAGCAAAGGAGGAACGAGGAAAGAGCGCACATCTCGATGTCACCGAAGGAACTTTTTTTTTTCCTCCAAACTTTTTCACGAATCCAAGGAAAAGGTAAACTGCATTATTCGCAGTGCATTGGGTCGGCAAATATACCCAGAACACCAAGACCAACGGATAATCAGTGCAGGTATGCCATGTTAGTGATGTTACTCGGATAAGTATCCTAACTAGCCAGTGCAGCTATGCCGATCAGTTCCATCCTGAACTGTGCACCTCCGGTTAGCACAAATCACCTGTAACAGTTCGATGTATCCTGTATCATCGACCTATTTTAAATAGCCTGTTTTGAATTTTGCATTCATTGCCGTTGACTATTTTGCATATGCTGCTGCTGCTGCAACTGCTTCTCAGTTTACCACGTACGTGTACTGGAACTTCGAATTTCCTCTATCCTTCATAAATATTTCTCTTCCTGGCGGGAATATTCCTCGCTTCTTCCCAGTACGTGTCCGTCACTTATTTTGAAGTCGTTCAAGTAGCCTTTTGGGGCAACACTAGCTGATATGAAACATCAGGCGAAAACAACAAGGCGAATAATATGCCATGTCGGTTGAATTCTACTTTTTCTCGTAGTTGTTATAATATCCTACAGGTGTAATTCATCTGACTGGGAATATGATCGTATAATTAAACGATCATAAAAAAAGACTTTAAATATTTTACACTCCACTGATCCTCCGGAGTTCGCTCTTCTGCTTTCGTCCATAGCGACAGCCTTTCGTATCAGTACTTCACTGTCATATACGTTGCACGAAAGATGGCTATGAAAATGAAGAATTCCTTCATTTTGACCACTCTGCTATTAACGAAACATGTGTATTATTGTGTGCAGCAAGTAATACCACACTGCAACTGGTGGGTTTCCAACACGATACTATTACTACGATGAGCACAGCCCTTCCAATTCAAAAAAAATTTAGATATCAATCACCAGGATGCAAAAAATGAGTAGCTTTTCACTGTGTAACCCTCATGCCCGGACACTGTGATATACATTTACTTTGTGGCCAAAAAAGCCGCAGCCGTCTGTTCTTCCACATTAACACTAATAATATTTCGCATTTCTTTTTCGATGCATTGATTTTCAGGCCCCGCTGTTTCTGTTGTATCGTAGCACAGGACAGGAGTTTGGCATAGCTGGGTCCAGAATACTGAAGTATTTCAGTAATATACAAACATCGAGTCCTAAATCGAAAGCCCAGGCAGTTTTGATGGTCATAACTGCTACTATTATGAACAGCATTCCTTCAAAAAAAAAAAAGTTAGGCTAATTTCATTTTAAACCGACCCCAAAATATCGAGAAAAACCGATTTTGCGTACACCGAGAACAAATAAAGAAGGCGGGAACGCCTTTTATAATGCTTCTTTTAGAGATTAAAGATTAGGAAATGCCTCACACGCATTCGCTCTTGAATATCGCGGACGATTTCTGCCTTTTTCCTGAGATACTCCGGTGATATCTGGTTCAAAATTTCGGTCTGTTTTTTCTCGATCTGGAAAAACCAGATTTAAAAGGCAACAAACACACAACAAGAAAATGAAATTCATTGGAAAAAAAATTAGCATCTCTTGGTCGGACTTACAATACACATAAAACATTCGGGGGAATGTGCAGATCTTAAATGGGGTCTAAGAAAAAATCTTCCTAGGATGAAATATAGGTGCGCCGGGGGATCAATTAGCATTTCCTTTTCCAGATAACTGAAGAAACCAGGTGCAGTAAATAATTCGAGGCCGTTGGAAAGACGAACTGTAGTCTTATAAAAAAAAAAACCAAGCGGACGGTCCAAAAACAAATAAAATATCGGGGGCGGCCGAAGTCCGCAAATT